GCAACCAAGAATCAGCCCAGTTCATCACTGTAGGAACAGCAGCATGTTGTGACAGGATAGCCACAACTTTAGCATTCTAATTCCTGATCCCAGGTCCAGGATCATTACACGTAAATCACATATTCCTCAAGGGATACTGCAACATGTAATTTTATTGAATTTTAGTTTCCTTGTTTTGGTCATAGCAGAGGACATATTTAACCTGTAGTTGTAATCAGTGGATGAAACAGTACTGATAATATGAGCTTTACTTTATACAATGATTAAGAGGCCCAAAAGCAAATGTAAGAATAGCTAGATTAAAAAATATCAATGCACAATTAATAACAGTAACATGGTTAAAGACGAGCTAACTTCAAAGCTCTGGAAATAAATACTTTCCTTTAATCTTCTTAGCTCATTTATCGATGATCTGTTATCATAATAGTCTGCTTTTCCAAAGGCCGCTTTAATAAGAAAGAGGAGAACACCTAAATGCAATTTCCAAGCCTATGGCAGTGGCTCAAGGATTGTTTAAAGCAGGGGTTTTCAAACTTGGCCCTTTTATGACTTGTGGACTTCAACTCTCAGAATTCCTCAGCCAGCCATGCTGGCTGAGGAATTCTGGGAGTTGAAATCCACAAGTCATAAAAGGGCCAAGTTTGAAGACCCTGCTTTAAAGCATTGTATAATTGAATCAGATTATTGTAGTTCACACACAACATCCCCTAAATTGTATCAGCCCAAAGATCAAAATTATACCAATTGATATGGAACTAAAACTCTCAGGTACCCATAGGTCACTAGTTCATGCTACATTCTGAGGATAATCATTAACGTCAATTCCATCACTATTATGACAAGAGGTGCTTTGAGAAATGCTTAGAATCTAATCCAGGATGAATCTTGCTCAAGTCCATTGGCTTAAGTGGGTTCCTCCCTCTCTCCTTTAGTGTTAGATTTGGTCCATTTCATCTGATGATGTTGTTTTACACTTCATCTTGCTTTCCAGTTTTAATGAAGGGGAAAGCAATATAATCTTAGATACTGACAGGCTATTTGTGTAGGTTGCTGCCTAGGTTGGCTTTGAATTAATTCCAGGAAGTGTTATCTATTTGAACAGCAGCTGTGAGCATCCAGAAGTTGAGCAGGTTTATCTAGGTTGTCTATCTGTGAAATGCAAGAGTTCTTTTGACATTTCCTCTTGAGAAAGACAATGCCATGCTTTGTTCAAATTTGCTGTTGAAGGATTGTTGTCCACTTACATTTGTCTTGTGGCATAATTTTGTAACAACATGTTTTCACAAAGTTCAAATGAACAGAACTGTTTTCACAAGTTTGTGGAAGAAAACCCAATGGCTTACTTACCTTAACAAAAATGCACTTTTATTTTTGACATACAGTTAGTATTTAACTAATAAGTTTATAATTCAAACTGATAAAAAATGGTTTCCATTTATGTCATAAAAGTGACCAGTTAAGCATTTAGATTTTTAAAAATGCTGTTAGAACTAAACAGAAGGAATTCTTTTAGGAATTCTTCTCTCTCTCTCTCTCTCTTTTTTTACCTGCAGTCTTCAAATACGAGGTCTTCCCTCTTGATAATATCTAAAAATATAACTATAAAGTGGAAAGGGAGCTCTCAGCTCCTGACTTAGAAAAATCTGATCATTCCAAAAGCTTTGTGACAAAAATGGAATTATGGCTATCCATTTGGATTTACACATGTGGGATATATTTTCATGCTTACATCCCATGTTCTTAGAATTCAAAGATAGGAAGGGGAGGAGTCCCTGCGGATTTTACTCCACTAGCCATTAGGGATTACAGTGGGCGATGGTCATCTTCATTTTAAGACCGTTGAGCCAGCACTGTCCAAAGACATTTCTACAGTTATGTGGCCAGTATGATGTCACGGAGCCCTGTTACCTTCTCACCAAAGTGG